AACTGGTATGGACAGAATTGTACTGTGTATTGTAAGCCAACAGATGGTTTGGATGGACATTACAGCTGTAGTATTGAAGGTACCAAAGTATGTCATCCTTACTGGTATGGACAGAATTGTACTGTGTACTGTAAACCAACTGATGGTTGGGACGGACATTACAACTGTAGTCTTGAAGGAAGCAAAGTATGTCATCCTAACTGGTATGGACAGAACTGTACTGTGTATTGTAAACCAACAGATGGTTTGGACGGACATTACAACTGTAGCCTTGAAGGAAGCAAAGTATGTCATCCTAACTGGTATGTACAGAATTGTACTGTGTATTGTAAGTCAACTGATGGATTGATTGGACATTACAACTGTAGTCTTGAAGGAAGCAAAGTATGTCATCCCAACTGGTATGGAGATAAGTGCTCGAGATTTTGTAAACCGAGAAATGATAGTTTTGGCCATTACGTTTGCAATACAACAACCGGTCATAAGATATGTCGTGCCGGCTGGTATGATGCAAACTGTACGTTGATGAGTTTTATTCCAAGTTCAAGTGCAATTTCAACGTTAATTTCGTCGTCGCATTCTGTGCTTTCCGACAGCACTAAAAACATGGCGAGCATTCCAAAAAGCTTGGTATTTTCATCGAGTTATTCCAGCACCTCACGTGATATCACCATGACAACTATGCTACCGTTTAGTAGCTCCATACATTCCAGTTTGTCAACGAGATGTGACACTTCGTCAGTTGGTAGATTATATTCTAGCTCCCCTTGGTTAATATCAACTCTATCCCATTCAACAAACACTAAATACATCTCTACTACTGGAAATGTGTTGCATTCATCTGTAAAGATAGCTTCAATGACGCTTTCTCCGAGTATCGTCCTTAACTCAAGTATCTCATCAAAAAAAAGTATCTCGCGTCCTTTCACAAGCATTTCAACCAAAAGCATCTCACTTCCTTTCACAAGCATTTCATCCCAAATCATTTCACTTCCTTCCACAAGCATTTCATCCAAAAGTACCTCCCTTCCTTTCACGAGTATTTCATCCAAAAGTACCTCACTTCCTTCCACTATCTTTCCATCCAAAAGTACCTCACTTCCTTCCACTATCTTTCTATCCAAAAGTGACTCACTTCCTTCCACTATTTTTCCATCCAAAAGTACCTCACTTCCTTCCACTATCTTTCCATCCAAAAGTGCCTCGCTTCCTTCCACTATCTTTCCATCCAAAAGTGCCTCGCTTCCTTCCACGAGCATCCCTTCCAACTCTACTTCACCTCCAGATGTTAATGTTCCGAGCTGGAGCCAGAAAGCCAAGAAATGGCTTGTGAAAACGTGGAAAAAACCGATTGGGAAAATAGCTGTTGCTCTCATCATACTGTGTTTGATTATACTTGTCATTGTCTTGGTTCGACGAAAGAGAAGGTATGGATTACATGAAATTTTCATTATAATTCTTATATTACATGTAACCGATCCGTTCTCCTTTCATTGGACTTTTCCACCGGATAGATTACAGTTTTTGAAAGCACTCAAGTCTCGGAATCAAAAACTTTGTCAGCCCCGACCTGAAAAGTGTGCAAAACTTTGCACTATTTTGCTCTAAATATTGTTAACGAAATAATTATCATCATCGCAGCCATTCAGAGAGGACGTATGGCAGCTAAATATAGAAGTTCACTATGAAGGGAGAAGAGTCCTTTCGCGATCGGATATCTCATCGCGCCTAGTTTCCTTGAAGCATCGAGTACATCAAACAATCATTTGGTTTGATTAATAATTATGAATTTCGCTCTAAGTTGAGTGAGTTATTAGTAATTTGTTCATTTCAGGAAACGTCCTTCGCCGCAGAAGGCTGTAGATGGAACAAATGGCTTTAGCAATATCGATATGCCTGCCTGCCTTCTCTTGGACGCAGCGTATGTTGGTGAAATGGAAGAAATTGAACCTGCGAAGAAGAACCGGTAAATTTATTACAGATCAATTACTAATCTTCCAATTCTTCTGCGGTTGCCCTGTATATATTAATATCTATGAGACCGTAGTTTTACAGTAGTCATTGAATCCTGCTCGTTGAATGCTCCTTTAGTACTACACTTCTATTGTTGTAGATTTTGTTTTATTGCTCGTCATAGTTTTCTAATCCGGCTGCTGTCACTAAGTCCTTCGTATGGGCAAAAGATATACTAACACATCCATGAGTAACAAAACAAGATCTTAAAATTGGACTATTGTATACTTGTATTATTCAGAAATGTTTGAAATACGTTTATTGCAGTTCGATAGTTGGACACTATCGTGATTGATCATCGGTGATAGATGCTAGAAAACAAACATKATAGCCCTTTACTTGATCTTGTGGAGTGTTCTCCGCCATTGATCGTGCAGAACACGCTATTGGATCATTACGAGCATGCGTAACACATTATGACAGATGATAGGGTTTCCTTTTAATGCATTCAAATCCAGAAACACCTTTTATGAGAAATTGTCCAACAATGGGACTAAATAAAGATTTTTAATACAGTTCTCTAGAGATCAGCCTCAGGACCAAATGGAAATCCTTTTGACGATTCAGTTCGAGTATGTCAACAAACATGTATTAACTGTACTTATTGAATAGGACCCAATCCCATGGTCCAATGCCAGAACCGATTTTTGGTGCAAGTAACCCTTTCTTTGACGACAAAACGAAGTTTCTACACCTTGATAACTACGATGTGAGCAATAGAGTGGAGCGTGAAAAGACCAGGTAATCCTCATATATGGGCGTTTTTCTTAATGAATTCGTTCAGACAATTTGCTGTGCAATGCTGTAGGGTACACACGGCACATCTCTTTCGCGCTCGAATTAATTTAAACTCCAGAAAACGGAAAACAAAAATTTAAAATAGATTGCTTATCTTTTATTATTATATACCCGGTAGAGACTAAGCAGGGAACTTCAATGGATCTCACTAGCCAGGGGAAATAGAAGATATATCATGTTAAAGCGTTGTTTGTTTTTTGTTCATTTGTAGGAGTTCTAGCAAGAGTGAAACAAAGACGAGATCCATTAGTAATCCTTTCTATGCTGACGAATCCAAATATGTCAAACTGAACGACAACAATGAATCCAACTTGTGAACGGTATATCACGTGATTGACATCGAAATGATCGAGGACTGAGATGATATCATAACCAAAGCTCGCTTTCAGGTACGAGCGACCCTCTGACAAGGAGCGACATCGCATGCTTACTGAATTTATTAATTGTTGTTGAAGCAAGTATATTGGGTTTCACGAGACAAGGAAACAATTATTAAAATTACAACAAAACGATACGGTTGTTTTTCAAGCCGGTCTGCTAGTGTCTGTTAGCTTAGTAAATATTTCATTCGTCGTTAAAGTATTACATTAGACAAATGGCCCTTATACAATGGGTTAAACAAAAATAATAACACGGTTAAAGAATCATAACCACCCATCGTACCTTGCGCGCTCGTATTATTGTTTACATACGTTTAAATGCGTCAAGCATACAATAAATTATAGATTGATAGTACCTGTGAGGTACTTAGTTAAAGGTATTTCTGTCCAAACTGAAAGGACGGAAGACGATTTGCGCTCACTTTAAGAAAGCCTACAAATCCGCCATTTTCGTGTCCACCTAAAATGGCGCTTCGGTTCGCAAGGTACGGCGGGTGGTTATGATTCTTAAATCCATACAGTAATTAGTATATTAACCGAGCGCGCGTTCTAGAAAAATCTAGATTGCTCTTGGGAAGTACAGACCGCGCCGAGCGAGTAAGAGTTTTGTTATATCATGATAAGCGTTATCATTGGATAAAAAATAATTTGAACAGAAAATATAATTGTAAGTCAGTTTTTGTTCGCTTTCTGTCAATTGGTGTTTTATAAGTTGATAGCCTAGTAGTAGAGCAGACAATCAGAGTAAGTCTTTGTTCATATGTATTTGTTAATTAATTAAATGTAATGTGTAAGAAATAAGTAAGTGCTTTTAGTCAAACCGTGAAAATGAAATAGTTAGTCAACTAAGTAGCTATTCAGGTGATGTCACATAAATTTGTAAAAGCGCGCCAAAGCAATAGTCGAGAAAATCAGGGGGAGCTGTATTTATGTAGCTTTGTTTTACCGGGGCTGTAAACCGATGGTTGCTTTGGAGCGATTATATTAATATATTTGACGTCATCTAAATAGTTAATTAGTCATAACTAAATATTTCACTAAAAGCACTCTTTCGCTGTGAAATTATAAGAAACAATCTAAGCGATTATTAATAAATGGATCGCCCAAAAAAGTTCGGGTTTCAATGGGAATCCAACCCATGACCACTGCGACGCCGGTGCAGTGATCTACCATCTTGAGTTTTGAAGCCAACGAGCGGTCATTTTATTGGGTGAATCCATCCACTTAAGGAATAAATGATGAAATGATGGTACAAACTATGGAAAAAAAATTGCTTGATAAGATCAAAATCCCTTACACATTTATTCACTGCAGTTCGTAACATCATTTCATTAATAAACATGTAAATAGACTGCAGACGGCCATAGGTTTTGTTAAAATACCATTCCGCATTGTGTGGTCTAGATTCACTGCAAGCATCTCTGTTTATGCACCCAAACATGTTGTTTGTAATAAAGCTAGATAACAATACACAATTAATTTTGTATTTCAAAATAGGTCTATTATATTGAMAAATGACGGTGTAAATATACTCGATATAGACGTGATATTTAGGAATAATTTTCCATAGTGTTCAATCTCAAATGAGCAATTTATACAATTAATATATTGAGCTTCAAGCTTTTAGCGTCGATCAGATGAGTGGTCAAACTATGTCATAGATCAGTGAGTAAAAGCTTGTCGATCATTATCTATATGTACAGTCAGACAACTATCCTGTCAGAACGGATAGCTAGTTTTAATTTGACAAATAAACATGATATCGTTACACTGACTTTAATTGTTGCAGCTTTTTGCAACTCGTCTTCATTGTCAGTTCAAAGTGCATTTTGAAGCCATAATGAAAAATTSTTTAAACCCACTTGTAAAATCATATGCTCGACGAACTGGAAAGAGCCGGTGTCGGGGTAAAACCGCAGGTACCGTGATTATTAGCGCGCCTTGCGTTTTCATTTTTGTGTAGTTTGCGCGAGCTTGTAGCATATTATGGTTTTCCCTCTGAAAACGCTTCGATGTTCGACCTCTGGTCAGACTGGCATTTTTACTGTTGCACGTGACTTGAAGCAAGTGACTTTAAAACGCTCGTCTGTCATTAGAACAAAAGCCAAAAGAAAGAGCGTGAAATAAAAGAAACTGTAGAAAGATTTAGATGAGCGAGCTCCACAAAACAGAGCTCGATCGAGATAGCAGCGCGCGCCACCCATTATGATGTCAAACTAGTCTAAGAGTTGCAACAATCACAATACGTATTGCATTAAGAAACAAAGATGAACCCCAGACCTGAAAACGCACCAACACAGAGGAACTCTACCGTTAAATACGCAATCCCTAATATCACAAAGAGCCAGAAACAATGCGGCGAAAATAACTTTAGACTCGTACGTCTTCTGACTACAAACCCAGCAGCTGCCTTACCGGCAATCTTCTCACCCAGCGGCAAATACGAACAGAGAAGAATCAGAATGTTACCTAAAGAACACAGAATTGCGCAAGTTCAAACACAGCGACCACATCAAAGTTATTTCCCATTACCGCTGGCTCATGATATTATACCCAGTGCTGAGGGTCAGTTTGTAATACCACTGTTGCCTGAGAAAACATATCCTGATTTATATGCCACCCAGGAAGAACTTCAACAAAAGGGATCTTGTTGTGATGAGCATGGATATTTTGATTTGAACGCTATCTTACCTTTAGACTGCACGATGATTTAAAAAGCTACTATCAACATTAACACAAAATCATTTCATGTGTTTTGCATCTGTTGTTATTTATTCAACATAAAAATTTCGCTAAACAATTCACAATTATTATGTCCTGGTTCACTTAACTTGCTGCAGTTTTTTTCGACTTGAATATCAAATCAATCTCATCTTCCATTGCTTTCTCTTTTTTCCGTTTCTTTTCTTTCTTTGATTTCTGTAAAAACAAAAAACAAATCATATAGACTTCAGCTTGATAAAGAGTTTAAGGTTTGTTTCATTGTTTCTCGTTTTTCATAGCATATTTTTTGCTGCGTGACAACTTGCCTTCACTTAGACAAGTTACAAAACAACGACTCCAAACTTGAACAACGACAGTGTTCCGTGAAAAGTTGAGGTGTTTTGTGTTTCGTATTTTCTCGGCCTTGACTGTTTAACCGATGAGTTGAAAACACGAATGGTGATTGGTGCATTCCAACCGCGCACTGAGCCAACAACCTAAATTTAGTGGTACTTTGTATAATACTTTGAGATCAGTTTCACACTAACAATACAAAGCATCAGAAATCTTTCTTGGATTTATCGAGATTTATCTGAATGTTGATTAAGTTGCTATTACTGTAAAGTACCTACACCTAAATACACAAACGTCCAAGAAAAAGAACTTTTCCTATTTAGGAATTAATTAAAATACAAAAGAAAGTGTTCAGCTTCAGTGTTCATCGTTTGTCTTTTGATGTATTCCTAATATCCTAAATCCCTAAATCTCAAGGGCAACGTTTTCTTTATTAGGTAGATATCGATTTTACCTTTCTGCTTTCATTCCTCACATCCTCTTGATTTGTTTGTTCAAAACCCAACACAGCCAGCTCTTTTACGTACTGAGTAAAATTTGATTCATCTTTTTGTATTGTTTTTGTTCTCTTTTCTTGTTTATCTTTCAAAACCTCTTCGACATTTTGTCGTTTTCTAGAATTGCTTTCTTCTTTTCCAAAAGTATTTTTACCGGTTTTCTGAACAACACAGCTTTTTAAAACTTTGCTGCCATAAAAGTCTTTGCTTAACTTGTGTTGCTGATTGGTTAATTCCTGGGTTAYGATTTCTCTGTGAACCGCATCTACTTCTCTCCAACACGATTCCACTACATGACTAGCACTCTTGTCGCACGCGAATGCAGCAAATTCTCCCTGAAACAACGATAAAAAAGCTGTTGGCTAGTTCTCCTTTGAACATGGGTTTTGTAAAATGATCATGAATGGACTAATTACTTGAAATCCCGTCCAGTCCTCATTGTCGGACCTTAAACATTACTTTTCCATCCTCAGTTTCTCTCAACTTATAGATTAAGCAAACGAGTGGAAGTCCAAAAACAAAATACATCTAGCATATCTTGTGGATGAGAATCAATAAACTCAAGTATTACCTGGAATATCTTACAAAGCTTGTTCTTCTTTTCGATGGGTACTGTTTGGCTTTTCAGTAAAGCTTCAATGGTTCTTGATCCAATCAAGTCACAACAAACCTTGGTTAGCTCCTCCTTCTTCATGTGTAGTAAGCTGCTGACAAACACTTTCGGATTTTGAAAGTCAAGAACAGTTTTCAACAATACTGCACCATGGTAATTGATTGCTTTCAATGATGGACTTTGAACTTCCTCGTCCTAATGTCAAGAAAAATAGAAAAAAATCCATAAGAACAAAGAGATGAACAAACAATTTCGTATATAGAGCATATTGCATGAGTGCGCGAAGATACGGATTTTATCTTCGAGTGTTCCACTGAGATATATAAATGGAACTGGAGGAGATAAAATTAGTATCTCCAAGCGCCCATGTAATGTTCTGTTTTAATTATATAAAATCAATTTTTTATCTATAAGGCAAGGAATAGGTCAATTTTGTAGGAAGTATCAATAGTAATAGGTTATTTATGTGAAAGATATCACTTTTTCGTGCAATAGCTTTCCTGGTATTTTATTTAGGTTTACATAATAAAGCATGTATTTTATTTTTTTTTAGTTTTTTTTTTTAACTTATTATATAATATATTTTTATAGTAGATATAGTGCTGAGGGCCACAAGTTTGTTAGCTTTGCTATTACATGCTACCCTCTTGAAATAAAGTCTTAATTATTATAATTTGTTTACATTATTATGTTTTTCTTACTTGTAATGTACAATGCATTCAGCACATTGTTCATACAACCAGTTACTGCAGTACTAAATGCTTAATACACCACCTTTGTTTTGTCTGTTCCTTCTTCTTTCTTCTCTGTATTTTCTTCTCGGTTTTTCTCTCCAAAGAAGACATCATATGTTGTCATACATAGAATCAAGGGTGCACATTTTTTTCTCTCTTTTTTCCCAGCACAATGAAAGGCTTCAAGTATTCCTTCTTGGAACTCTTGCTGTTTTACCTGAAACCTTACAGACATCTCTGCCATTCTTGCTACAACTCCATCATGGCCTGATGACAAGATTTCTTCTATTTCACCAAGAAGTTCATCCAGCATAAGTCCTCCCTGAAATTTGCATCAGTTTGAAACAAATAAATACATGACATATGTGTAGCTATTTCACTGACCAGTTGGATTGAGATTAATCTGAAAATCATTAAATAAAGCAGATTACCTACCAAGACAGGGTCAGTAGTATTGGTCAGTAAGTGTTGTACCAAATAATTGCAAACAGGATGTAGTGCTAAGCTATCCAGATGTCCTTTAAAGAACTTCTTGAAAAACGTTTTATGTTGTTTTGACGAAGCAACAAGAAAGACTTTCTCTACAAGATGGCTGGCGACACTGTCAGTCAAAAGTGAGGGAATTTGGTAGCTGCAAGAAGACATTATATAATAAATATGTTAGTAATCCATTTGTTGTAAAATAGAATGTTGAAATTAAGATTTAATATTATGGACATATAATATTGTGCAATGCCAAATGGTTATTCCATGTCTACATAGGGTTTAGATTGACTGTAGCTGTACCTTTCTTCATTATCCTGGTTATCAACTACAAGCTTCATAATCTTTTTGCAGAGTTTTGAGCACAGTTTGTCATCTTTTTCATGCTGGACAAGTAAAAGTGTTTGAAGCACTGGGCAACTTAGTGGGCTATACACAAGAGTATTGATATCCATGTTGAGAACACTTGCTGTAAGATTTTCAAGTACAGATGTAAAACTCTCAGGCACTGCAAATTTTTGAGAAGATGGACTACCAAACACATGACCTGCTACAAAAAGAAATGACATTGGATTTTCCTAAAGACCATCATTAATTCAATTGAATACGGTACCAGTATTAAGAGAATCAACCATTTTATCCAAAACAACAAATCAGCAAACCAACTTACGTACCATAACAAGCTACTATCCTATACTATCAAATTACAGTTGAAACAAATTGGACCTTTTGATAAAGCTGTCAGAAGCAGACAATACGATTACATTTAATATTCTAATCTGTTTTCACTGACAGGGACTGCAGAGCGTGAATTTGTTTTTTGGGGGGGCTAGCGGCGATGAGGTACTAGGGGGGGTTTGGAAATTTTTGTAATCTTAACTCTCGGAAATGTCATTTCCAGCATTTTGCGGCGTTATCCAAGACATATTTACCGCACACACAGTCATCAATATTATCAATAAATCCCAAAGGTCAATAAATCCCAAAAATCCTCTCAGTTTTTACACAATTTACATAGAGTATATATGGTGGAATTTCATAAGGAGGCTCTTCGCTTCTTTATTTAAGAAAATTCAAAATGTCTGTAAAAATTATTGGGGGGGCTATCGCCCCCCAGCCCCCTTGCTCCGCGGTCCATGACTGACATTTCTAAATGTAGTGTTCGGGTACCCTGTGTACCACTGCCTCGTTCTCATGTAAGGTGTGCTTCAAGTGTAATTCTCATACTCATTAATTATTCATGAGGTATCCAGCCAATCCCTGATTGTAATTTGTACCACGTGAAGTAACTTGAAACCAGATAAAGCACTCGTACCTTTGTATTCTACCTTATTTCCAGTTACTTYTACCTTTTTCAAGTTACTTCTACTAATTTCGAAAAAGCCAAATCTCATCTATTGTATTGCTCTTTACTCCAGGAGAAAGACCCTTGGGAATAAATTCGGAAAAATTAATTTCCGACCTCGCTGGGATTCCAACCCGGAATTGCCTCCTTCTAAGCACTATAACTTTMTTTCATTTCTACATCGTGTCTATCACAGTGACATGCGGTCCTCATATTCATATCTTTCAAGGTATACCTCACTTATTGAAAATCAAAATCTGATTAAAATTCAAATCAAGCAATGGCAGCAATAGCAATACCTGGTTGAACTTTTCCATATTTTCTTTCTTYCATTTTGAATGCTTTTCCTCTACATCCTCTGGAATTTCTACTTCTCTGCACACTGTCTATAATATGAACTCCACCAAGTACTTCCAAGACCGCACGGATTACATGCGAGCCATAAGTATCTCCCAGTAGATTTGGTAAATTCTCCCTAATAAAGCTGCAGTACAGTATGAATAACTGCTCCATAGATTCCTCGCTGTTTTCAATGTGTTTCTCTCCTTTAAGTTTATTTCTTTCAATTCTAATAATTCTTGGAATAGAATTCACCAAATTCTGTACGACATGACTTCCAAATCTGTCAGTTGTAACTGTCATGTAGTCTTTTGATAGATTTTTCCATATCGCTTTWAGTTGTGCTTCATTGAAGAGRACGATAAGTCTCTCGAAGRCTCTACTCATGGATTGCCCGCAACAAAGTSCAAGTTCGTTACCTTCAATCTGGGTGAAGACATTCTCGATGAARAGCTCTCTGGCTTCTTCATCTTCAAAATCATCATCTTCGATTACACTTTCAACTCTTTTAAAGTAGCTCAGAGTATCCTCATCTAGCTTTCCTTTTATCTTTGCTTCTTTTTCTGTGTCGTTACTCATCTTGTGGTCCAGAAATCGGAATAAAATGTTACATGTAAATTAATCGCTGACATTAGAATCGTCCGCCATCTTGGCCATGCGGGGACATCAGTGACCACGCCAAAATTATTGACGGGGAGAACTGGGAATTCATCAGAAAATTATCTAGTTATTTGCACAAATAATATGACGCTTGTACCATGGAAAATCCCGTACTACTGCAAGAAGTGAGATAAAACATACTTTTAAGTAATTTTAATTTTGTTTAATTAAGAGACAAGATGTTGACAAGATGGAGAATACTCACAGTTATAACAACTAGACGATCATGGATCGCTTACGTGGGCTTCCTGTGACAATGGTGTTTCATTTTCACAAGATAGTCTTTGTTTGTAATAATTCAAG